ACGGGCTCGCTGTCTCCGTCTGAACGCCAAGCCGCGTCTGACCTGGTTCGCAACTACGAAGGCCAGTCGCTCATCCGACCTCTGCAGATGTCATCGAAGCATACTGGCCAGGCCGACTGGCAGTTCACGGTTATGAACACTGGCCGAGCCCAGGTTGCCACCCGTAGCGCACGAGATCCCAACTGGCGGCTGGTGGTACCTGTGATCAAGGACATTGAGTGGAGATTTACGAATCTCGAAAAGGATCCGCACGAAAAAGATGGAGTTCTTTCGTTTGACTTTGTCACCTTCTTGAACAGCGTGGAGAAGAAGTACGGATCGGATGCAGCCAAATGGGCTGAGGAGGCGTCTTTCATGACGCGGTGGTGGGTCGATGAAAATGCAAAGCGATGGCGTTATACCCCCTGATTATTCTGAAGCGACTTGGACATGCATAGCAAGTCTTTTTTTTTTTCCTTGTCATGCCACACCATCACCACTATAGTAATTTTTCCTTTTCAACGTTGGCGAGAGGGTCATTAGCATCAGAGGGCGGCTGCAATTGAATTCTTGGCTACTATTACCTTGCATCTACTGGTTCATTACCTTTGTTCTGTTTTTTTTTATTGTTACAAATATTTTTTGGCTTTGTTTAACCCCCATTACGGCTTTATTTGCTACTACTTTTTTGTCATTATTCGGGATCACGGAAAACTAGGGGCATCTGGGGCTTTGCTGCAATTTCTTGTACGATAGCGAGTACTACGGAGTATGGTCAATTCATGCTAGAAATGTGTATATCTCTTGGATTCGTTCCATGGGGTGTTTTGGGTTTTGGCCAATGGTATCTGTTCAAGGGCCGAACATGGCCACCGTGACGTCTGGTGTAGTTGGGATAGAGTTTGGGGCGTGGCTCCCGAAGGATGCTGTGTACCAGGCGTTGCATGGTGGTGCCGCATCTGGGCCAGCCAGTCAAAGCCAGGTGCAAAGTCAATCCGCATGCAGATTGCCAGATGCGTCGGCGGAGCACGGGGCACATGAAACGTGCTTAGGGTGTCGGACGTGGGATGTGCTTTGCTTCGGGTCGCGTGGGGGAACAATGGATGCCGGGATGATTGACATGGACATCTGGAGTTGTTTGTGCTGCTGGTTCATGTCTGGTCTCGCGTGCATGCGCCCAGCGGCTCGGAGTCTTTGAGATCGTCAGGCATGGTGTGGGGCACAGTGTGTGCCATGGAGTGTCGATCTGGTATGTCAACTTTATTTTTTCTTCTTCTTCCCGGGCAGAGCTTGTTGGGGCGTTGGCTTAGTGCCGATCACGGCTGTTTTGGGCTGACGGGCCAAGGGGGTCGACGGTACTATTGTTTGTGAGCTGGTAGTGTTTAGGAGGACAATAGGCGCGGGCTATTGTTGGGCTGGGCTGACGGGCTGCATGTGGTCATGTGCCAGCAGTTGACTGATGCTGGCTGGGTCTCGAAAGGGCCGAGAAGCAGCCACTGACTGACTCTCTTGGGGGGTGAATGGAGTTGAATTGCGGCTGCCTTGGCTGCTGAGGCTTTTTTTTCCTTTTTCCTTTTTCCTTTTTTTTTTTTTCCTGAGCCGAGCGTTGGTTGATGTGTTCTGTGCACGTGGTGTAGGACAGGCCGGGCCGGTTCCCGCGGCACCGACTTAGAGACGTGATGAACCTGCCGGGCCTCAACTCTTTGCACCGGACCGCCTCGACCCCTCTGCCCCTCTGCCCCTCTGTCTGGAAGTTCTGCAGGTCGGAGCCAGTGGGAAATGTTGCGCAGGGTGCACGTGCTCGGAGTGACTGACATAACAAAAATGGTCAACCGGTAGGTCGGTTTCGCTGGGGAGAAGTTGAGCGGCCTCGGGGCTGCAGCCCCGCCTCGGCTCCGCGGCCGTGACGGAGCAGAGAGCCGGGTCGTCCCGCCAATCCCATTCGATGGCATTCATTCCCGCGTCCCACCGGGCCAAGCCGAGCTTCAAATTCACAAGTCAGAGCGCGACACTGAAGATTTGACGGACCACGGTTTTACTCCTATCCAATGAGCCCTAGGCTGATCAAGGAAAGGACGCGCGACGGTGGAAGCTGTGTTGAGGAATCCTGGCGTCTGCGTTTCGAGGTGTCGCTCGCGGCTCCTGGTCCTGGTCGTGTTCTGCTCAAACTTTGAGGAGGATTTCGGGGCATGAGCAGCCTGGTATCTATGCTACCTTGAGCTACTCCCGGCTTTTCGACGAGACGTAACATGCAAGTTGTGCGCTGCGCGCATCTTGTTCAACATGATGCCTCATGTCCCCACATTCGTCAGTTTATTCGTCCATGTTGTTTTCTCGTTGCTCATTCAATTGATGTTGATTTGGATTGAGATTGCGCAAGTGACCTTGCGTCATTTGGACGAGGCCATCTTGGCGTGCAAAAATAACCCTTACAATGCCACGACTTGCCATTGTGGTCACGGAACCTAAGATGAGGTTCGATGAACTCGAGATGCAGTTCAGTACAGCCTCCCGCACCAAGCCACGGCGTAGGGCGTCAACCAGTAGAATTCAAGGCCTGGCTGTCCATCATCACGGCTCCCAAGTACACCCATATTTAAGCCCAGAAAGCGCCTCCCTCCGGAGATCACGGAAGTGATAGATAATCCCACCAGCCGGGACGCCCAGCACTCAAAATCCCAACTCGGAACAATGGCCATTTCTTACCCCTCAGCAAGCTTTGCTTGGCTCTAGAAAAAAAAAAAGACATTTAGTCTACCCCTCATGATGAGCGAGAAGAAAACGCAGTCCAGGCGGACCTTTCCCCTGTCCCTTGTCGAGAAATACTACCCCCGCGCATGGGACTGCCGACTGCCGTTCCTGCACCCATCCCTCGCGGCCACCCGGCCCAAGCTCATCAAAGCCGGCATAGTCAACACCCTCATCATCCAGCTGCTCTTCTTCGCCCTGTTCTGCTACCTCTTCGGCGCGCTGTACCAGCAAGGGCCGCGCACCAACAACCTCGACGTGCTGTGGGTAGACTACGACGGCGGCCTCGTCGGGCAGGCCGTCAACGCGGCCTACGCGCGGCTGAGGTCCGACCAGTTTCCCACCCTCGTCGCGCGGCCCGTCTCGCAGTACCCCTCGGCCGACGCCCTGCGCGACGCCGTGTGCGACGCCGACTACTGGGCGGCCGTGTACACGGCGGCCGGGTCGTCGGCCAGGCTCGGCCTCGCCATCGCCGGGCTCAACACGTCGCGGTACAACGAGTCCGACGTGCTCTTCTACATCTGGAACGAGGCCAAGTACCCGGCCGTCACGGACAGCGCCCTGTCCAGCAACATGGTGGCCCTGTCCGGCGCCGCGCGCATCGCCTACGTGGCCCTCAACTGCACGGCGGCGCTGGCCACCGTGCCGCCGGGCGACCCGGCCGCCGTGTCCGTGTTTGCCAACCCGTGGACCATCACGTCCGTCAACCTCAAGGCCACGACGCAGGGCACCCGCGCCGTGTACAACACCATTGCGATTGTGCTCATCCTCCTGCAAAACTTCTTCTTCCTCGCCACCATCAACGGGCTGTACGTGCAGTTCAAGATTTACAACCGCGCCCCGCCCAGGTTCATCATCCTCGTCCGCGCGGCTATAGCCTGCGTGTACACGTTTCTCGGGGGCCTGCTCATCACCGCGGCAATCTGGGCCTTCAAGGCGGGCTGGGACGTCTCGGGGGCCGCGTTCGTCCTGGACTGGGCGACGTTTTGGCTCCTCGGCCACGTCAGCTTCCTCGTGCTCGACGTCTTCTCCATCTGGATCCCGCCGCAGTACGTGCCGTTTGCGCTCGTCACCTGGGTCGTCACCAACGTCACCTCTGTCATTGTGCCCTTCAGCCTGTCCAACGGCTTCTACCGCTGGGGGTACGCGCTGCCGGCGCACGCGGCGTACGAGGTGCTCACCGACATATGGTCGGGCGGCTGCAACCCGCACCTGTACTTTGCGCTGCCCGTCCTGTTCGCGTACGAGGTGCTGGGGATCCTGGGGACCAGCCTGGGCGTGTACAAGCGCTGCCACTTGGCCGTCGTGGCGGAGGAGGCTACCAAGCAGGCGTCAATGCTGCTGGAGCAGACGCGCGAGAGGAGGCAGTCGAGGGCGAATGGAGAAGCCCTCATTGCGGGGGGGAGTGGTCGGGTGGCCGGCACGAGGGCGGAGGATGCTGAGGAGGAGGAGCGGGAGCAGAGGGAGGAGCTGGATGAGGAGGACGAACAGGCTGTCGAGGACATTCAGAGGCTGGAGACGCAGGCGACGAGGATATATTCCAACTTGGGGCCCTCTTTTCAGCTGGTTGGTTCTGATGAGAGGCAGGGTTAGGGTTAGGATGGCGGGGCCAATCGTCGGACTTGTCTTGTTCCCTAGTGGTACGACGCAGTCAATTGACTTGTTCCCCTAGCTGGATGGAGTAAGATGGTTAGCAATGGGCAATATTTTGAATCGTGAATGTTGTACGGGGACATACTCGTGGTTGTACAGAGTGCGCGCGCGTGGCATTGCTTCTTTGGCCAGGTGCTGGCTCTATTCACGGCCTTTGTCCCATGGCTCGCTACCCCGCGGCGATATCGGCCAAATTCAGCCGCAAGTTACTCCGTACCGCTAGGCTTAAGCCGTCAGGGCCCCACGTTGCCAATTGACATCAAGCAGCGCAATCGCGGCTGACGGCTGCCGACGGATGCTCACAGCGGAGGCTGCCGGCAAAGATTGCGAACCCCCGCTAGACATTGCGAACCCCCGCCAATTGATCCGCTCCGGAACTTTTATCGCACCGACATCTGGGAACGTTGAATCTTGAAGCGCCTCAAAATTTTCCATTCTTTGCATCTTCACACTCCTGCATTGCATCTCGGCCCATCCAGTCCATGCGATCCGGCAAACAGTAGGAGCTTACACTGCTCCCGCAAGCACCGTCTAGGCCCTCTGTTGGCACTCTGGCCACTCCAGCCTCAAAGACCAGACCAGGCCACCTTGAAACCGCGCAACCTGCCAATCCTCCCACAATGCCCCAATCAGAACCCACCGACGGCCGAGACACGCCCATCTCATCTGCATCTGCGGGTGGAGAAGGAAAAGGAAAGAGGCGCAAAAGCAAGAACGGTAATGGCGGCGGCGGCAGCGGCAGCGGCAGCAGCAACGGCAGCGGGAAGCGCGAAAGAGGTGACAAGGACGACGAGGCCATGGCCAAGCTGGCAAACGGCCCCCACAACCCGCCCCGCGCCCGCCGCGACGAGCCTGAGCCCAGGACCAAGCGCCAGAAGCGGGAGAAGCGCGATAAGAGCGAGAAGCGCCGCCAGACAGCAGCAGACGACGACGAGGCCAACAGCAGAGACAGCAGCAGACGACGACGAGGCCAACAGCAGCGGCGGCAAGCGAGACGCCTCGCGGTCGCGGTCCCTGGCGCGCCTGGAGAGCCCCGTCATCGACTTTGACGGGCTGAGCCGGCCCAGCGTGGGCGCCCGCGACCGCCTGGAGGAGGACCCCGAGGCGGCGGCGGCGCGGCTCGACCGCATCAAGGGAGCCGTCCGCACCATCCTCGAGTGCGTGGGCGAGAACGCGGACCGCGAGGGCCTCCTGGCCACGCCGGAGCGCTACGCCAAGGCCATGCTGTACTTTACGCGCGGCTACGAGCAAAACGTGCTCGACATTGTCAACGGCGCCATCTTCCAGGAGGGCCACTCCGAGATGGTCATTGTCAAGGACGTCGACGTCTACTCGGTCTGCGAGCACCACCTGGTGCCCTTTACGGGCAAGATGCACATTGGCTACATCCCGAACAACGCCGTCATCGGCATCTCCAAGCTGCCCCGCATCGCCGAGATGTTTGCGCGCCGCCTGCAGATCCAGGAGCGCCTCACCAAGGAGGTGGCCAACGCCATATTCGAGGTCCTGCGGCCCCAGGGCGTCGCCGTCGTCATGGAGTCGAGCCACCTGTGCATGGTGATGCGCGGCGTGCAAAAGACGAGCAGCACCACCGTCACGAGCTGCATGCTCGGCTGCTTCGAGCGGAGGGACAAGACGCGCAACGAGTTTCTCAGCCTAATCAACGTCAATGCCCGCTGAGGGCCTGCGTCTTGTTTTTTTTTGTATTTTGTAATTCTTTGCAATTCTTTACCTCTGCCCTCCATTTTATGTATTTCCTTGCCACTCTCTGTTTTTTCAGCAAGGCAAAAGACGGTGTTTTTATTTTCGGAGGGGGATCCCTCTTCAACTCTTGGCCTTATCGACCCTCCTCACCCTTTTTCAACACATCGTCGTGGGCAAGAATGGGGGTTTTGTATCACTCTGCGTCGGGTGCTTCTGCTTTATTCTGCTGTACCCACTAGCGAGTTCAGTTTCTGACGGCAGACAAGCGCAACATGGTAATATAGGCTCATATTTGTTTTTGGTTTCATTGTCGCTTTCGCTACGCACGCACACGCAGTCACTTGTGCTGCGTCCGCACCTGTTCTGTACTAGTAGGCACGACTGGTCCAGCCATGGGGGCCCAACGAACTGTTCATGATACCATACCGGGCGCCGGTTCCTATACCAATGCCAATGGCCTCGTTGCCGCTCTCGCCCACGTGCACTTGTCCACGACGTGCTAGAGCCCTTCGACGCCCATCCTGTCGCATGCATGAAGGGCCTAGATGGCAGCCGAACTTGCCAGCCGCTCCATGGGCGTTCCGTGACGCCTCCCGCTTGAGGCGGCTCGTCGTATTTCGCGGGTTTGCGTGAACCAAGAGGGCCCGCGTGCCCTTGGACATCAACAGCAGGTCGCAGCTCCGATGGATTCCTGCATAATGACACAATCCGCGCGTCTATATAAAATACAAGAGTCTGAAAAAGACAATACCGCCCAACTTGCGATGTGATGGCCCAACAAGCATCATCCACCCGTGGCGGCATCGCAATCGCCATGCCGCGCGTATTCGCCGTCAGGGGCTCCCCCTTCCAATGCCGCCTCGACATGATGCCCGTGGGCGACATGACAAACCCTGCCGCAGACGGCTCGTCGCAGGGCACACGACAGACGAGGATGAAGCGCGTCACGGTGGACGGGATGCAGTTGAATGTGGACCGTGGGAGAAACTTTGACGTTCTGGCTTGGATGACGTGTTTGACGATATGCTGGTCGGGGCTGTATGCTCCGAGCTTGACGGCGACGAAGTTGAGGGATGGTAGAGCACGGGGTGGGTTCAATGTTGCTACATATACATATATATACGCTAGGAGACTTGGATCTGCACTGTTGTATAAACAGCCGACATGGAGTATACTCGACATGTCGTGGTCCCATGGATACAACAATCTACTGTCTAGTTTGGCATCTCCACAGGCTGATACTGACGAATGGCAGGGATGATGGACATGGCATGGCGCCTTTGCGTTCAAAGATTTGAATGTACACCTATATATCGTATAAGTAGTATACTACGACGTCAACGCCGTTCGTCTGGGCACAGCCATCGACTTTGAATAGTTTACCACATGGCAGGCTTCAACACTCTGTCCTTCCTCGCCGTTCCTAAACTTGATGCGGCGCTGCAAAACGGCGCCAATCTACAGCTGCGACAGGCACGGTACCACTACAGTGTCACGAATGGCGGAATATCCTTGAGTGAATCGGATGCATAGTCTATTGCCGCGTTCCGAGAGACCCACGAGATGATCGAGGTTAAAGCCGAGGAGATTTCACGGTCGCATCAGCAGCGGGGACATTTTGTCCGGCGGTTGAAACTCGACGCCCATCGCGGCACTAATAATAACTCGGGGCGCGCGAGTCATGGCCCCTCGATGCGAACAGAGGACACTTTTCGCAGTTGTCATGATGGCAGCGAGGTTCTGTCGCTGCACCCGAGACGCAACGAGTCGTGGCGAGGGGGGCATCAGTGATTAATGCGAAATGCACGTCGGGCAGCGGCCATGGATGGATGGATATACAGACGGTAGCTTTATATACCTACATGTACGGAGTACCGACACATGTAGGCACTTATGGCCCTTCTTCCTTGGACAACCACCGGCTTCACGGGCAAAACACCCCCATTTCAACCGCCTCGCATTCCTCACGCCACGAGCCTACACCAAGCCTTGTCCGTCCCAACTTCGAAGCATTCTTGCATCTTCACCACTCGCATTCGCCCCACCGCGATCCCTATCTCTAGTCGAAATAGGAAACTTCCAGACGGGTTCCCCTGGGCGTTGGCCCGCCGTCGAAAAGCACCGCCCAGTCGGAGGGCGAGGCCGCCCTCCCAAGTTGACCACCCCCGATCGCATCCACAGGGCACAGCCGCATCGTGTGTATGTAGGGCTGCTACGGCACGGCGTGAAACGGCAGACACGAGGGACGTCAGGATCCCTGCGGTTCCTGAAAACTAGTCACTAGTCACCGAGAGCATAATCCCCCCCCCCCAATCCCAATCCCAATCTCCATATCCTTTTTTTTTCCCCTTCCCGTACAACTTGTCCCCTCGTCTCGTGCGACTACACGTCTGGCAGACGGGCAAAACGACATGGCCATCTTTCGGGAAAAAGGCAGGTGGCCGCTCGTCCGGCGCCTTCGCTGGCTACGAATCGGCCAGTACGTCCTCAACGTGACCATCATCGGCATCAGCGCGTTCCTGCTCGCCGTGCTCATCTCCAACGACGCCGGGCTGGGGGGCAGCGTCACCATGGCCATTGCGGTGGTGAGTCTGGGCCCGAGATAGTACACGCCCCGGAAATTCAGGAATTGTCTGCTAACCCAACGCAACCGCCAGGCGGGCCTGACCTTGATTCTCACCGGCATGCAGCAGTGCTTCGGCACGCGCCTGGCCGGCTACCGGCGGCGCGGGTGCCTCATCTTCTTCATCTTCTTCGACCTGCTCTGCATGGGGCTGCAGGTGCCCCTGGTTGCTGTCCTGGCGGCGGCCGGCCTGCCCGTCGACTGCCACGGCATCGCGTTCGGCAAGGACCCCTTTGTCTGTGAGTACTCGCGGGTCTGCGAGAGAGAAGCAGAGGACTGCTACTGACAACGCATTTTTGTAGTCGGGGAGAGTGGCCGCGGACTGACGCCGAATTTCTGCGCCGTGCCCAACACCACCTTTTGGCTGTCCATTATTCTCATGTATGTTTTTTCTTATTTTTTGGGACGCGGGGACGCGGGGAGGTTGTGCTGACTGCTGCTCCTTAGATTATCTTACATGTACACCCTTAGCCTCATCATTCGGCAGATTGTCGCGGTGAGCAGGGAGCTGAAGCTGCTCCGGCAGGAGGAGAAGGACACGGCGAGCAACGAGCGCATCACGGCCATCATGGCGGCTCACCAGGCTCCCCCGCGGACCTGGAACCGCGCGCGCCCGAACCAGGTCGAGACGGTCGACTTGCGCTCCGAGCCCGTCCGGGCAGTGGACGAGCCGGACGTCGAGGCTGCCGTGGTGCCTCCGGCCGACGTGGTGCCTCCGGCTGCCGGTCCTTCGGCTGGGGAGGCGCCTCCGCCCTATATTTCTGCCCAGCCGGTGCATGATTTAGCGACACGGTTGAAGAAGAATTAATACACGGGGGATATTTTGTTTTGACATGTACACGTAACGAGAATGGGTTCAAGGGGGAAATAGGAGGCGGTCTGTACAAGGCGACTTGTGGCCGTGTGACGGCACACATTCGCCATGACGACCGAGCAAACGCATCATGTACAGCTTAGCTTCTAAAAACAAATAGCAATTGCATTGTAAACTGGAAACTCTAGTCGTCTTTATTCATGTTTGGCAGTTACTGGGCGAGCAACCGATTCGTCTGTTCAGGCTGCAAGTTCAAGTCCAATTGGCACTTCACGCGGCCCTTGACGTCTCCAGAATCCAGAAAATATGCCACCGGGAAGCCCAGTCCCGGCTATCGAGCTACCCCAAATCTATATCTCAGGACTAGGATTGATCCCGGTACACCACTTCGTTCTGCTCAAAACATGAGGAACTTCTATCCCGGCACTGCCCTGGCCATCCTGGAAGCTGAAAGCACACCGTCCTAGGAGCAGGGGCTAAGAATAAGTGCATTGACAAAATGGTTGAAGATTACTTGGAAACAGCACTTGTTGCTGCAGAAGAGAAAGCTTGTGAAGCTGAGTGTAGTCCCTGGGATAAGCATTGTGACCTGGGCTATATCATCTAGCCGGAGCGGAACCGCAGATGCATGTGGTTCCCCTGAGCCTCAGGACAGTCAGTTTATCAACCGACGCTCAATACGACTCACTTCCGAATACACGCCAGATGTTCTTGTGACACATTTACATTTGATTGAATAATAAGATACTATCACGATACACGCGGTCTTGTCCCCATAATCTCTTTGCAGTTACCCCGAATTTTCAGCCGTCTACAATTACGCCGCCTTCCAAAAATTACCATCACATGATTTGTCCTCATGAACAAGCAAATATCTATCCCGCAGCAATCATTCGTAAGTAACCACCTCACTTCCACTCCTATATATTAGTTCAAAGCGTCCCAAACATACTCCTCTCCCATTCGTTCGTGACCTGTTGGAGTCCAACGCCAAACACCGCGTCGAAGGGCAGATTCGACAACCTCGCGCTTGACTGGCTGAGGTGTAACTGCTTGGCGACACTGGGCAGCTTCGCAGCTGTTATCAGTCCAGCCAAATTGCAGATCATCAGCCCACCAGGTGCGAAGTTCAAGCCCAACATGAAGGCGGACAAGTACAGATGTGATGTTCTGGAATCCATCAAATGTGACTGGGGTGAGAGGGCAAGGGGCATTAGGGAAGCTTGGACAGGCTGGCACGCGCTTTACCTCTGACCATGCAATGGACATCTCATTTGAGGTGGCCTGGTTGTAAGTGTAAGCAGAGACTTCGAACTCACACCACTGCTCGGTACCCAAAGCGGCACATCCCAGATTTGCGCTATACAGGTTGAAACGGAAGCAGGGATTGGGAGAGTTGGGCCCAACACCAATCTCAGCCGTATCACTGCTCCCCGTTGATGCAGGACTAGTCAGAGCAGGCGGGACAAATTCCACGAGTTGGCCGCCGGATGAGGCCATGTACCCCTGAACAGATTGAGGTGACAATGGCGCAACGAGGAATCCCTCTGAGAACCAGAAGTCTCCAGCTGGGTTGAAAAGAGGACCCGGCTTCAATGTATCAAACTGTAGACAATTAGCACTAGAAGTTGAACGAGGCTCTATTGAATCACCCACATTTACTGTAGTATTGCCGACCTTGCCGCCAGCTGGGCACATTACATTAGCAGGAGGGAGAGCAGCAACACTGGGGGTTGATGGTGCTGGGGTAGGATCCATAGGAGGAGGAACCAATGTTGCACTCTCAGTCAAAGGCGGAAGACTCGCAGAGGTCGAATTGGCCCAGCCAGCGCCGGGGGAGACAAACCTGTCTGCGAGTTAGTAAAATCCATTCCGACGAAAGAACTCACTCGGGTATTACATACTTCTTCAATGGCTGAACAGCGCGCTTCACAACAGAAACCTTGGAAGGAACAGTAACAGTAGTGAGAGTAGTCAAGGCAAACTTCATGGTATATGTTGTGGTTGGCTCGGGAATGACATTGACCCAGGTGCTTGTTTGGACAGAGGTTGCAATCGGGCTGGCCTGGGGATTGAACAAAGATGATAAGGCACCATATCCAGCAGGAGAAGCACCGGCCGGCTGCCAGCCATATCCGCCGGGCGTGCCCTGTGGTGCAGGACCAGAAACAGGCAATCCCTTGTTGTCGGCATTTCCAGGACTATTGTAGACAGACAGGGGTACGGCAGTGACTACCGACAGGACAGGGATACCACCTGGGCCAGTAACAATGGTGAAAATGGACGGTTTTGCGCCAACGTCTGTTCCAACAGGCAAACCGCCAAGTTCAGAGCTGACTACTGGTGGGGAGAGTACAGTAGGAGTGGCCGGGGATCCTGTTCCGTATTCTTCCAAGGCAGGCGAAACGGCCGAAGCAGCCTCTGGGATAGTCACAGCGTTTGTGACTCCAGAGGTCAACGCCTGTGGCTGGGGAGTGATAACAATCGTCTGAACAACAGGTGAAGGGACTCCATTCGGCCCGACAACGGTGACGGTAACAGCAGTGGTAATTGGGCTTACAGAAACAGTCTCTGATGGGTTGACCCCTTGATGGAGATCACTGAAACCCGGAGGGACAACAGAAGGAAACCTAAGTGAGGTGGCGAGGACAGTGGCACCTTGCAGTCCCGATTCCTGTGTTGTCAAGACAATTGTTTCCACGACGGGGGTTGCAACACCATTCGGGCCAAGGACATCAACAGTAATGCAGGTCGTGTAGCCTGAACCAGTTTGAGCGGGGATAGAAACACCTTGAGGAAGCCCATTGGTTTGGCCCTCGGGAACGAGTGATGGAAGACCAATGATGGTACCAGTCGGCAACACATTACTGTTGGGCATCACAACTGTAGATTCAAGGACAGTAGGAAGGCCATCTGTGCCAAGAACTGTGTACGTCAGGCAAGTAGTCAGCCCTTGAGATGCCATCTCGACAGAGCCAACCTGGCCTGGAGCGGCAGTGACTTGTCCTGGAACGCCAGTGATGACTCCGGATGGGGCTATCGTCGCAACAGGTGTGGCGGAAGGTCCAGGAATGAGAAAGCTAGTTTCGACAACTGTGAGTTTACCATCTGTCCCAATAACTGTGTAGGATGAATGAGTGGTGATCGCCCCTGCACCAGGTATCAGGGATCCAGGAACAGCTGTGGCTTGTACGGAGATACCGTTTGGGAGATTTTGGGGCAATTCGGTAGCCAAAACAACGGATGCAGGAACCACCAAGGTAGATTCAATCACAGTTGGTCGGCCGTCAGGTCCAATGACAGTATAGCTAGTGCAACTGGTGATGCCCTGATCATTTGATGGCGCTTGAGTAGCTCCAGGGGAAACAGAGACTCCAGTTGGCAATGTAGCAGCAGACGCGACAGTGACAAGGCCAGTTTCGATGACCCAGGTGGAATAACGAACAGTTGCGGTCCCGTCGGTTCCAAGGACAGTAATGGCTGTAGTTCTAGCAGTTCCTGGCCCTGTGTAATCAGGAATAGCGCCGCCGGCCGTGATGGTTGTGACAGGAGTTTGCTGGCCGACAGCGGTAGAAACAGCCTGGGGAGAAATATTGCCATCAGGTCCAGTAACAGAAGCAAAGGTGACTGTTGGTGCACCGCCATTGACCTGATTTGTGTTCAAAGTTGATTCAATCACAGTTTCTTTACCATCAGTGCCAGTAACAGTCCAGCAAGTCACCGCAGGTCCTGATCCGGAAATGGCTTCGGTTGCAGCGGTGCCAAGAGTGATGGTGTGCTCAGAAATGACAGTAACGGGACTTGGGCCTCCATCAGAGCCGGTAACCCACTCAACATCAGTATCGGTGACAATTGTGTACAGGTTTGAGGGATGCACCACAGTGCCTCTGTTGTCACCATCACCACCATTGGGATTGGCAGTCACTTGGCCAGTGTTACCTGTCGAGTACGGCGAGTTAGGTGGAACATTCTGGACAGTGACAGTGCCTGGAGTAGCACTGCCATTGTCTCCAGAATCATCGGTTTCAACGGGACCTTTGTCCGAAGCTGAAGCAGGATTGCCATATGTAACAGAGCTTGGAGATGAACCATCAGAAGGAAGAGATCCACTGGTGACATGGCCAAAGTCTGAAGCAACAGAAGTGGGATTGTTTCCAGAATCAGAGCCACCACTCCAGAGATCTGAAATGGTCAGGGTAGTGAAGACCTGGACAGTTGGTCGGTTTCCATTGGAAGAGTCCAATGGAGAAACTTGAATGGTCCGATAACCAGTGTGATCAGGAGTTCCGTCAGTGCCGGTGATGGCTGCAGGGGACTCATTGCCGTTGGAGACAGGACCAGTAGGATAGACAGTAACAAATACAGTTGTTGTGCCCTGCATCTGACAAGATTGCCCGTTGGGGAAGCCATTAGAGTTTTCGCCACTATTGTCAAACACGGTGACTGTGCTCTGTGGGGAGTCGACTTGGCCAGCAGAGTTTTCGGTATCATTGCCATCATCAGGATTTCTGTTTCGTTTAGTTAGCCAAGTATCGCAGCCAGAACATGGTGAACTTGCCCATAGGTTGCTTGAGCGGCAGCTTGGTACAGAAGACTGCTGGCCACCGCGGCCCCGAAAGTCAGGGAAGCACGCATGGCGGTCGGCGGATTGAAGATGCTCAAACAAGACGAAGCAGCGGCCAAACTGATGATTCAAACAAGTGATTTCTGCAGGAATACGAGAATCAAGAAAAAGGGTCGGCGGTAGTGAGGAGAGTACAAAACGGCGGATGAAAGAGAAATGGTGTCGAGAGGATAAAGGAATTCAGGTGTCGAGACAGAAAAGGGCGGCAGAGTTCAGGAACGGCACAAACGGCAGGTCAGAATCAGGTTTTCAAGCCATGGAAAGTCATAGAATAGCCAAGAGCTGTTGAGACCGACATCTCGTGCCGTGTTGCCGATATCTGTCAACGGAGGAAGGAGCAGGCTAACAGTTGCCAGGCGCCGGGGAAGGCCCTTTCGCAGAGAAAAACTCAGTCAAGCCAACGGCCAATCTTGATGTATTCGACAGTACGTCTAATAAGCACATTATCCATTGTCCATTATGACTTCTAGAATTGGGTTTGTGATGGGAAATGCACGATGACATGATCGCTGCGACGGGATATCAATAGACTTGTCGGGCCAGTGTGAAGGTTCTTTCTTCCATGGAATCCTCCATATTGCCCAAAGCTTGAATGCTGCGCAGTACGTAGCTAGAAAAACCCAGAGCTCCTTCCCGTGAACACAATACTGCATGGAAACCACAGAAATAAGGCCAATCTCAGCCCACAAGTTGTGCCTAGTCTATAGCTGTCACGCCATTATCACAAGCCAAGATTTGACAGAAGGAAGCTGTCCTATCACAGCTTGAGAAATTACGGCAATAAATGCCGAGCCAAGATTTAAGTTTGAACTTCCCAATGAACAGCTGCCAGGTCCGCCAAGAAGTGCCAGACGGTTGACAGACAAGGAGGAAAGTCATGTGTGCAAGCCCCCATGGAAGTCGCAGGCCAGGCTCGAGACCAAAGAAAGGACAGTGGCCACGGAGCGCAGGTCGCAAATCATGCAGGTCCCGATTATCGAATAGAGCGCGGCGTGTGGTGCGTGTGGTGGAATGAGACGGGCACAAGCATGCAGTTCAAAAAAGGGATCAATGTCATCATGCCATTTGGTCAGAATACTCTGGTGGGGCTTCAGTTGGAACTTGCTCATTGACAATAAGCGAATCGACACCCGTCCTTTTTCGCTCGTCCTCAATTCTTGCGGCCCACAACGCTGATCCCGTCGTTGTCGTCAGGAGGAAGAAGAACGAAAGAATGGGGACCAATTCGAGAATCATTGCGACAGTACCAAACCAGACATAGTCCCAGGTCAAAAGCTTGATCTCTCTCTTTTGTTCTTCCTTTGAAAGCCCGCGGAGCTGAAACCACCGATAATGGGAAAGCTTGCCAAGTCTGGTGCCTGTGATGATGATGAAAGCCGGCGTGCCAACATAGGGAACAAGGTTGAGAGGCAAGAAAACAACCAACTCGACAATCTGTATGATGCTCCAGGGTTGATATATGGCGGGACTTGTCGGTTTTCCAAGCATTTTGACAGAATTCGGTGCTTCATTGAAGAGAATTCGGTGAGGCGAAACGAGGTCCTTCAAGCCCAGCTTAATGAACGTTGCCTAATGAGGGCGTTAGCTGACCAGCAAGTCTCTAGACCGAGTATCGCGTTGCGATAGCTTACGTCAAAAACGTCCACCCGACATTCATCGACAAAGAACCCTTCAAAAAGACCCTGTATGATGATCAACCCTTCGCCTAACGTCAGAACCACGGCGTTGACCCATGCTCCCCAACCATGAAAGATGGCGAGGAATGCAAACTGCGGTAAAAAGGCGAACGTGAAGAGGATAAAGTACACGAAGAATGATATCAGAGACAGGGGCAGGAGTCTCCCACTGAAGAGGGGCCAAAACTCCTTGTTCCGTAGGAAGTACCATATACCGCGCAACGGGTATGAAGCCGCGATGCCAGCCCGTTTGGCATAGTTGGCCGGCCGTGAGTCGGTGAGCGAGCGAGCGTCTATGCCGATGGACTGGCTGCCGTACAGGCTGGTGGACAAACTGCCTTGCGACGGCATCGTGAGATACAGAATAGGTAACGAAGTTTGAGAGCAAAGTTGCGGTCGCGTCGCCAGGAACGCCAAAGCGCCTGGTGGTTGCGTGTCCCTCGGTAGTACGTCACACCGTCGGACGTGGGGCAGCTCAAGTGTCCGGTTCGGATTGGGCCAGCTGAGAGCAAAACGCTATTGGCCTGCCTTCACGAACACGTTGGCTACCCTGGGGCTTGGAAGGCATGTGATTTTCGTACGTGCCACAACTTCTGTTCTACACAGCACGCCGAGGACTAAAAGGCTTTTCAGCACCAGTGTATAAATACCAATAGCATATGAAGAATATTCCAACGTTCCAGTAGGAATCATCGGCCCAAGGGCGGTCCAACACACAAGGTTGTGATACAAAGACTTCAAGTGTCAATCTTCTCGAGGGAGCGATCAACAACCCAACAAATTGCTAATTGCGGGTAAAGCTAAAACTATAGTTGAATTCAATGAATCAAGGTGATCTACGAGATTGCACAATGACGCATGTTCGACGCAGTCACGTACACAATAATAACAGGCCAAGTTACTGTGCGCGCAGTAACATGAAGCTAAAGTGGCTGCTGGCCGCCTTTGCATTTATTATTTCGGGAGACCTTTAATTTCACCCCTGGCTAACGGTGGCGATGCGAAAGTATGACGTAATTCGGATGGAAAGTGTACCAGTTCCGAGACCCACGGCCAGCATTTCTCACTAGTACCTTGTTTCTAACAGTGGTAGCTACGAGAGAGATGTCACCTCGGGTGTAGGAGATGAGCACGGCTCTTGCCGACTTGGAATACATGAGCGACTATTCTTTGCTCTATCATGGCTTATAATTTTATGATAATGCCTAGGATATTAAGTGCAGAACAAACCAGTTGCAAGGGCCAAGTTGTCGACGTGCGAAGCAATATCAAGCTTCCCCGCGCGGCGCACGCCACAAGCAAGCTGGGCCACCCAACTTGGCGGAGCATCATTCAAAAGCCGTGAATCACGACACACCATGCGCCAAAAAGAAGCAAGAAAAATAAGGGCATGAAACCCTCTTGGCAGTCTTACAGATGTAACCAATCTAACCAGGCTCCAAACCAAGCAGTTACAAATCTCCCCAAAGAGTACACACGCATCTACACGCAGCACAAATCACACAATCACTGTTGTCGCGACCCATCGTCGTCAACTCACCAAGTCACGAGCTTCAATGGCCGACTCCAACCCAAAAGTAACATGCCAATGCGGCGCCGTATCCTTTCGCACTTCCCGCCCCAAGCCCCTGGCAAAATATGTCTGCCACTGCACCGAATGCCGCAAGCAATCCTCTTCAGCGTTCGGCACGTCTGCCATCTTCCCCGCCAAGGGAATGTGGCCTCTGCCCGATGATGTGCGGTCCAAGCTGGGCGTGTGGACGCGCATTTCGGACAAGGGCACGACGCTGGAGTGCTATTTTTGCAACGAGTGCGGCGTGAGGGTGCTGCACAGGCCGTTGCTGCCGGATGGGACGCCGAAACCGACGCTCACGGTGAAGGGCGGTGCGCTGGAGGGCTTCACCTTGGAGGGGGCCAGGCATATTTGGACCAAGTCGGCAGTCATGCCTGTGCCGGAGGGGAGTTGGCCGGAGAGTCCAGAGGGCTCGGATGCGGAGACGGTTGGGGAGTGAGGCGTGGCCGTGATGTTTGAAGCGTGGAGTTGATGGGGGTTGGCGTGTGTGAGGGTGTTGCGTATTACGGGGTATGTGTGCGAGGGAGACCGACTGGGGAAGCGAGCTGCCGGAATTTGAAAAGGGGTTTGTGGTTTGATAATTCGACAAGCCATCTGGATTGGTTCGAGATGTACAGGAGGAACACCTGAGCATGTATGAGCCTGGCTTCCTTAGAGCGTCTCCCCCTACACACTATATCGATCCAACTACAATACTGTAAAAGTAAACGAAGATATTCTTTCTATACTAAGGTGTGCACATTAAATGTTCGTTATTGTATCAATTATTCTGGTAGGAACACAACACTGTAGATGCGTAACGATCCCCATCATCCCCTCATCCGTGTGCGTGCCGCGAGGTTAGAAGCCCTGTCAAGGTGGGAATCGTCTCCCATTTAATACCGTGAGAGACGTATGCACACTTAACATGGTTGTTTCACTATTTTGCAGTCGCCGGTAAATGAGAACTACAAGCATGGAGTTGAGAGCTGGCGATGCCGTGGCGAGGCGAGAACGCATGTGGGCGAGTGGCATTAAACCGCAGAAAATAGTTGGGGCGGCTGCTATGCATTGCCAGCTCATCCTATTTAAGACTATTAGATGAATCGCGATAGCTAGGCATTGAGAGGGCGAATTATGACCCATCTGAGCTGTAGGAGGATGGAAAGACGACGCTCAGATCCGGGTATGGGCTTGGACACACCCAAACTGCGCCCACGGCAATAGCTTTAATTCCAACGGGATGAATTTGAGGAAGCATTTCCGTTATTGAAGAACCAGGCTATTTGAGCTTGTTGGCCCCACGGATAGCTGCCGTCCCCGATAAGACGAAATGGAGCAGTCAGCCCAGCTGTAGTTCTGAGCGGCACGCTCCAGTATGCTTGCCGCCATTGCAAGGTACCTCTTTTATACGAGGACCTGGGCCCTCTATTAAATTATTTGGACCAAGGATAAAGGCGAGCGCTGGCCGGGTGCTAATCGCCTGACGCCCTTTCGACGCAACGCTCACGTCAAGTCATACCAGGACCATCTCCGCATCCGCTATTCATCCTCGCGCGTAATCCGTTCACGAGTAGCAGCCCCGATGAGATGCTCATCCGGAAGCATAATAGCTCTATCCAACGTGTACGGCAACCCCCGATGCCTCCCCCGTATCATCATGGCACAAATGACAAGTTTGCCAAACGTCGAGAATTCAGTCGACAGCGACGCGTTGATGCCGGGGTATCCTAAGCTCAGTCCAACGTTGCCGCTAGAGAAATGAAAAGAGCATTAGTTTGCT